GCTTCTGCTGCAGTAACACAGGTGTGTAGGTTCTCACAGCAGCAATCGGTCTGCCAAAGTTTGTAAAATAATGAAAGCTTCAATTGACTTGTTCTGCACCGGACATGTGTGTGTATTCTGGAACAAGCATGTGTGTGCAATTGGTCGGCCAACCCTTGACCCCTGGGTTGGGTGCATGCTCACAGCAGCACCTGTCTGCGAAAGCTGTTGAATGTTCAGAACCTTCACTTGACTTCTTCATTGGATTCTTCTGCAACACACACATGTGTGTGTGTGTTCACAACAGCAGTTGGTCGGCCAAGCCTCAGTTGACCTCTTCTGGAACACGTGTGTGTATGTGCTGACAGCAAACAATCGGCCTATCAAAGTTTTTAAACCGACCAAAGCTGACACTGACTTGTTCTGCGCCAGACATGTGTGTATTGAGAAACACACACATGTGTATGCCCACAGCAGCAATTGGTAGGCAAACCCTTGACCCTTGGGTGCAACCGTCAATTGCTTTCTTCTGCAACACAGATGTTTACTTAAGCCCTCCTTCGGGGGTTCATCAGTTCAGCTTACATAAACCCTCCTGTGGGTGCTCATCACTTCGGTTTACTCAAACCTTCCTTCGAGGGCTCATCGCTTCGATGTACTTAGACTTAAACCCTACTTCGGGGTTCACCGCTTCGATTTAATTACATCATCCTTCGGGGGCTTCATCTTTTCACTTTCAATTTCCTGAAACCTTCCTCGGGAGTTCATCACATCAGCTTCCTTAAACCCTCCTTTGGGGGTTCGCCACTGCAATGTACTTAAACCCTCCTTCGGATGTTCATCACCTCAAAGTTCCCTCCTTCGGGGGTTCACCACTTTAATTGAATGTACTTACAACCTTCCTTCGAGGGTCCATCGCTTCAGTTGATCTACTGAAACCCTCCCTGGGGGTTCATCACTTCGATTTACTTAAACCCTCCCTGGGGGGTTCATCACTTCGATCTATACTTAAACCCTCCCTGGGGGTTCGTCACTTCGATCTACTTATATCCTCTTTCGGGGGTTCATCGCTTCGATGTACTTAAGCCCTACTTCGAGGGGATGAACTTCAACCCTCTTTCGGGGGTTCATCGCTTCGATGAACTTCAACCCTCTTTCGGGGGTTCATCGCTTCGATGAACTTCAACCCTCTTTCGGGGGTTCATCGCTTCAGGTTTGTTAAACCGTCCTTCGGGGGTTCACCACTTCAATGTACGTTGATTATATTCGACAACACAAATGTGTGTGTTCACAGCAGCAATTGGTCGCCCAACCTTTCAGTTGACCTCTTCTGCAAGATACGTGTGTATGTGCTCACAGCAGCAGTCGGTCTGCCAAAGTTTTGAAAATGATCAAAGCTGACATTGACTTGTTCTGCACCAGACATGTGTGTGTTGAGAAACACACACATGTGTATGCCCACAGCAGCAATTGGCCGGCCAACCCCTGAACCTTGGGTGCAACCTTTAATTGCTTTCGTCTGCAACACACATGGGTGGGTGTGTGCTCACAGCAGCAGTTGGTTTGCCAAAGTTGTTGAATGTTCAGAAGCCTCATTTGGCTTCTTCATTGGACTATTCTGCAACACACATGTGTGTGTGCTCACAGCAGCAACAGGTCGCCCAACCCTCAGTTGACTTCTTCTGCAGTAACACATGTGTGTATCTGGTCACACCGGCAATCGGTCTGCCAAAGTTTGTAAAATGATGAAAGCTTCAACTGACTTGTTCTGCACCAGGCATGTGTGTGTATTCAGGAACAAACATGTGTGTGCAACTGGTCGGCCAACCCTTGGCCCTTGGGTGGAACCCTCAGTTGACTTCTTCTGCAACCCAGATGGGTGTAAGCTCACAGCAGCACTTGTCTGCGAAAGGTGTTCAATGTTCAGAACCTTCACTTGACTTCTTCATTGGATTCTTCTGCAACACACACATGTGTGTGTGTTCACAACAGCACTTGGCCGGCCAAGCTTCAGTTGACCTCTTCTGCACATATGTGTGTCTGTGCTCACAGCAAACAATCGGCCTATCAAAGCTTTTAAACTGATCAAAGCTGACATTGACTTGTACTGCACCAGACATGTGTGTGTTGAGAAAAACGCACATGTGTTTGCCGACAGCAGCCATTGGTAGGCAAACCCTTGACCCTTGGGTGCAACCTTTAATTGCTTTCGTCTGCAACACACATGGGTGTGTGCTTAGCAGCTTAGCAGCAGCTGGTCTGCCAAAGCTGTTGAATGTTCAGAACCTGAAAAAGTCTTCCTCATTGGGCTATTCTGCAACGCACATGTGTGTGTACACAGCAGCAGTTGGTCGCCCAACCCTCAGTTGGCTTCTTCTGCAGCAACACATGTGTGTATGTGCTCACAGCAGCAATTGGTCTGCCAAAGTTTGTAAAACGATGAAAGCTTCAACTGATTTGTTCTGCACCAGACATGTGTGTGTATTCAGGAACAAACATGTGTGTGCCATTGCTCGGCCAACCCTTGGCCCTTGGGTGCAACCCTTAATTGACTTCTTCTACTTCACACATGTGTGTGTGCTCACGTCAGCGGTTGGTCTGGCAAAGTTGTTGAATGTTCAGAGCCTTCGCATGACTTCTTCATTGGATTGTTCTGCAGTCCGCAACACACATGTGTGTGTTCACAGCAGCAATTGGTCGGCCAGCCCTTGGTTGACGCCTTCTGCAACACATGTGTGTATGTGCTCACAGCAAACTATCGGTCTGCCAAAGTTTTTGAAATGATGGTCTGATGGAAGTTCAATGGACTTCAACAGATACGTGTGCAGTCAGAAACACACATGTGCATGCCCACAGCAGCAATTGGTCGGCCAACCCTTGGCCCTGGGGTGCAACCCTTAATTGACTTCTTCACCTCTTCTGCTTCACACATGTGTGTGTGTGCTCACATCAGCGGTTGGTCTGGCAAAGTTGTTGAAATGTTTAGAACTTTCACATGACTTATTGTTCTGCAGTTTGCAACACACATGTTTGTGTTCACAGCAGCAATTGGTCGGCCAGCCCTCAGTTGACGTCTTCTGCAACACATGTGTGCATGTGCTCACAGCAGCAATCGGTTGCCAAAGCTTTTAATATGATCAAAGCTTCAGTTGACTTGTTCTGCACCAGACCACGTGTGTATTCACCCTCAGTCAACTTCTCCTGCAACACACACATGTGTGTGTGTGCTCACAGCAGCATCTGGTCTGCCAAAGTTGTTGAATGTTCAGAACTTTCACTTGACTTCTTCACTGGATTGTTCAGGCACACACATGTGTGTGTTCACAGCAGCAATTGTGTGTGTATGTGCCCACAGCAACAACCGGTCTGCCAAAGTTTTTTGCTAGATCAAAACTTCAATTGACTTGTCCTGCACTAGACAGATGTGTGTACTCAGAAACACACATGTGTATGCCCACAGCAGGAATTGGTCGGCCGGCCCCTGACCCTTGGGTGCAGCCCTGAATTGCTTTCTTCTGCTTCGCACGTGTCTGTGTGTGCTCACAGCAGCAGTTGGTCTGCCAAAGTTGCGGTGTGGGTGTCGTCAGTGTCATTGTCGATGTGTGGTTGGTGCTGGCTGGTGGCGGTGCCGGTGGCGGTGGGGTTGTCGTTGTCGAGGATGTTTCTGGTGTCGATGTAATGGGTGTGGTCGGTGTTAATCGGTGGTCGGCGAGGATGTGGTGTTGGGTGCGATCACTGTCGCTGTGGTCGGTGTATTGGGTGTTGTGTGGGATCGGTGTCGGTGTGGTCTGCGTTTTGGGCTTGATCGGGGTGGACGGTGTCGTGTTATCGGTGTGGTCGGTGTCGGTGGTCGCTGTCTATGTGACCCGTGTCGGTGTGGTCGGGGTGGGTGTGGCCTGTGTATTTTCGGAGCGGGTGTGACAGGTGTCGGTGTGGTTGGTGTTATTATTCTGATTGGTGTTGGTCTGGTCAATGTAGGTGTTGTCGGTCGGTGTCGGTCTGCTATCAGTGTGGTCGGTGCTGGTGCCGCTGCCGGTGGCGGTGGGGGTGGTCCGTGCAGGTGTCGGTGTCATCGGTGTGTCTGTTATCGACTTGATGGGTGTGCTCTGTGTGGTGTGTGTGTAATCGTTGTCGATGTGGTCGGTGAGGATGTGGTCGGTTTGGTCTGTGTTGGGTGTTGGATGTGATCGGTGTCGGTGTGGGCCTGTGTTTTCGGTGTGATCGGTATGGGCAATGTCGTTGTGATCGGTGCTGCCGGTGTGACCGGTTCTATCAGCGTGTTCGGTGTCGGTGGTCGGTGTCGGTGTGATCGTTGTCGGTGTGGTCGGGGTCAGTGTGGTCTATGTTTTCGGGTTTGTCGGTGTCGGTGTAGTCGGTGTCATTGTCGATCTGCTCCTAGTGTGGTCGGTGCCAGTGGTGGTGCCGGTGGCGGTGGAGTGGTCGGTGTCGTCGGTGTGTGTGGTGTCGATGTCATGGGTGTGGTCGGTGTGGGTGTAATCGGTGGTCGGCGAGGATGTGGTCGGTGTGGTCTGTGTTTTGGGTGGTGGGTGTGATCGGTGTCGCTGTGGTTTGTGTTATCGGTGTGATCGGTGTCGGTGGTAGGTGTCGGTGTGGCCGGTGCTGGTGCCGGTGCTGGTGCCTGGTGCCGGTGCTGGTGCCTGGTGCCGGTGCTGGTGGCGGCGGGGGTGGTCGGTGCAGGTGTCGGTGTCGTCGGTGTGTCCTGTGTCGATGTGCTGCGTGTGATCGGTGTGGTCGGTGGGAGTGTACACGGTGTCGATGTGATCGGTGAGGATGTGTCGGTGTGGTCGGTGTTGATGGGTGCGGTCGGTGTCGATGCATCGGTGTATCGGTGTTGCTGTGATCGTCGTGATCGTTGTCATCGGTCTTGGTGTCATCCGTGTGATCTGTGTGACTAGTGACTTGTGCCTTGTGAGTAGTGATGTCGGTGTGGTTGGTGTGATCGTTGTCGGATTGATCGGTGATCGGTGCGATCGCTGTGATCGGTGTCGGTGTGATCGGAGTCGGCCTTGTCGCTGGTGTTCGGTGTCGGTTGCGGTGTTGATGTGATTGGTGTACTCGGTCTCGGTGTGATCCGTGTCATCGGTGAAAGCGGTGTGATCGTGGTCGATGTCGGTGTGATCGGTGTCGGCGTGTTCGGTGTCGGTTGCGGTGGTGGTGTGGTCGCGGTCGGTGTGATCTCGGGGTGTTTGTGTGTGGCCACAGTGTGTGTGTGTGTGTGCGTGTGTGTGTGTGTGTGTGTGTGTGTGTGTGTGTGTGTGTGCATGTGTGTGTGTGTGTGCGTGTGTGTGTGTGTGTGTGTGTGTGTGGGTGTGTGTGTGTGTGTGTGTGCATGAGCTGTTCCGGTGTGATCGGTGTCGATGTGATTTGTGTGGGTCGTTTGGTTGGTGTCGGTGTGATTCATGTGATCGGTGTCGGTGTGATCTTTGCTGGTGTCTTGTCGGTGTAAATTATGCGGTCGTCTGCTGTTGGTGCCTTTGTCGCTATCGCCGTGTCGATGTCCGTATCCTTTTGGGTTTCGGTTTTTGTGTGGGTGTTGTCGATTTTTCTTTGTCGCTGAGGTCAGTTTCGGTGTCGGTTTGGTCGGTGTCGGAGTGGCCGATGTCCGAGTGGTTGGTGTCTGAGTGATCGGTGTCGGTGCATCAGTGTATCAGTGTCGATGTGATCGTCGCGATCGTTATCATCGGTGTTGGTGTGATCCGGGTGATCTGTGTGACTAGTGATTTGTGCCTTGTAAGTTGTGATGTCCGTGTGGTTGGTGTGATCGATGTCGGATTGATCGGTGATCGGTGCGATAGCTGTGATCGGTGTCGGTGTGATCGGAGCCGGCCTGGTCGCTGTCGGTGTGGTGTTTGTTGTGGTGGTTTTTACGGTGTCGGTGTCGGGGAACGGAGACAGTCCTTTTCGGTGTCGGTGTCGTCAGTGTTTGTGTCGGCGTCGCTCGAGGTCTCGTCGTTGTGGTTGGTGTCGGTGTGGTCAGGGTCGGTGTGAGCGTGTTTTGTGTCGGTTTCGGTGGTGGTGTGGTCAGTGTCGGTGTGATCGGGGTCGGCGTGTTCGGTGTGATCGGTGTGGGTGTCGTCGGTGTTTTCTGGCCCGTGTCGGTGTGAGCGGTTTTTGTGTGATCGGTGTCGATGTGATTGGAGTGGTCCGCTTGATCGGTGTCGGTGTTTTGTCGGTGTCGGTGTCGGTGTCGTCATTGTCGGTGTCGGTGTCGGTGTCGATGCCGCTTGAAAGAAACTTGAGAAATCTTCCCCTCGGCACCTGCAGAATTTGCGGTGCATTTCGTGCGCCGACGACGAGAAGTTCCACGCAGGAGTGATGCAAAAACGCTGTGAGGTTTCGTCCGACCAAATAGACCCCGTCAGCCGTGGTTGTTCCGAGTAAAATCTGCTGCCGACCCCGCCGCAAAAGCAGTACGTTTGCGTGAGAAGGCCACGACATGCCGCAACAAATGTTTCAAAGAGCGTGTGTGTAGCATCTTTCGGGTGTCGACCACTGTCGCCAGCCGCCGCTCGCGGCGACCCGTCCGCTTTTGGCATCCCCCACAATCATCGGGAAGCCAAACATTGCCAATGTATCGATGTGAAACGCGTAATGTCAATTTTTGCCCGTAGACACTTTTGTGCACCGAGTGCTTGCTTTGTCGTATCCGCGTGATGCACTGGGGGGTGCCTTAAACCCAGGTTTTGGCAGCAAGTGCACGCGCTGCCGGCCTCCCTTCTCCCGCCGGCTGCCCATGGCAGCCCGAAAGCCGCCGCCGCACGCCGCTGCTATGGCAGCGCCACCGCCGCCGGCACACACACGCCGTTGCCACGTCGCACAACCTGCCATAGAGTGAGGCACCGCCGTAAGCACGCTGCCAGGGCAAGGCCACCGCCATTGTCGCACGCCGCCGCCACGCAGCACAATGATCCCTTCCCTGGGGACCAAGCATTCAGGGTTCGCCTTTCGCCTGGGCCTCTCAACCTCCAGCAACACTGATAAAAGTTTCATTGATTTTTTGCGTCCCTTCCCGCACCAAAAACGAACGACGTTCGGCACGAGTGGTTGTGCATTGTCCGTATGCATTGTTTGGTTTTTATGTGTGTCTAGCAGCGATTTTCACATGTGGTGACGGTTTTTTACTCCGACGAACTGCACCTGGGCCGCCCAAGTGTTAGCTTGTGTTAACCTCGAAGTTTTGGTGGGGAGCTGCTGTGGTGCGGGTGTCGGGTGCACGCGCAACCATGTGCATGTAAACACGTCGGTGTCCACGCGGATGATGCTCCTGAGGTTAACATACACCACGATTCGTTTCGAAACACCTGAAGGCTGACTATGCGGGCACAGCGAAATGCATTTTGGTGTGTGGGTTGTTACGAGCGTGCACACACATGTATGTGCTAAGATGAAAGTGCGAGAGCACATGCTGCTCGTCATGCTCCTGCAGTGACACAGTGTTGGTTTGTTTGTTGCTTTTCCAACACGTATATATATTACCGTTCATGCAGCTGCCGCGAAAGCGCTTTGGATAGGTTTCTCGCTGTTTGCCGCTCTCACGCCGCGAAAACATGTTCCAGTGGAACTGGGGAATCATGTTGCTCTTGGTCTTTGCCGTTGGTGTTGACGGCATGGAGGCCAAACAGGAGCCGGCAGATGCCGACGAACACGATTTGGATGATGAGTTCCTTGCACAGGTTCTCAGCGCAAGCCTCGGTGACCCGTGCAAGGTGGAAGATCCGGCCTCAGAGGCTGTTGTCGCAGCCCCTGACGACCCTTACCTGGGTGGCATTGACCTGGATGACCTGGACGAGGTCATCCGGGAGGGCGCTTCTCCTGTTGAGGGTACGGAAGGTGAGGATGTTGGTAATGGTGTCGTGGAAGCTGAGGAGATTGCAGCTTCGCCCGACAATTCGGACGACGGGTCCGTGGAAATGGGCGAAGAGGTCCCAGGGGCACCATTGCCGAACCCGTTGGGGGCATTCCTGGCAGCCACTGAACACATCGATGTTGACCTGTTCGCAACTTACGCTCAAAACCCAGGTCTCTGGCATCGCCTCATCACCAAAGCCTGGAAACAGGCTGTTCGGCTACACCACCCTGATGCCCAGGGCGGCCACAACCAGTTCCTTGACCTGACCGAAGCTAAGGAGACCTTGCTTGCTTGGGCGGCTGAGTTCACAGCCGTGAAGAAGGCTTGGCCTCAAGCGCATCCCAAATGTTTCTGCGACAGCTGTCGCGCACTCATTCAACGCATGCTGCTGTGCCCAAAGTGCCTGGGCCTCAAAACCAACACCGGCCATGCATGTGGAGCCTTTTCAAAGCAGTTTGGGATATTTCTCCGGACCGCAAAGCATAAAGCCACCATCCTGCACCTAGCCATGCTGGTGGCCCACGGCCTTTCCGAGGAAAAGGCGATTGAGGAGGTGAGGACTCAGCTGGCATGCGACCAAGAGGCCGCAAAAACCAGGGCTGAGCTGGAATCGGAGCTCGCCGAACAGGAACGGAAAAAGCGGAAAGCCCAATTCCATCAGGTTTTGGCCGCGAGGCTCCATGCCACGAAGGTTAAAACAGAAAGAGAATTCGGGCAAGAGACGGGGTACCACAGGCGCCAGCAGCAGCTGGCAGATGCAACCACCGCATCGGGCAGTTTGGGATCCACCGCATCTCCGGCGGCCGTTGCTGCTGCGATGGCGCCTCCTGCTGCGCCGGTTGCCGCTGCAGCTCATGCTGCCGGCGCTACTCCTTCTACGCCGTTGGTGCCGATTCCTCCTGCTGCCCCTGCTGCACTGCCAGCTACTCCTGCTACGCCGTTGGCGCCGACTCCTCCTGCTGCCTCTACTGCCAGTGTTACTCGGGGACGGACCTTGCAAAGGGGCAGGCGGCCGGGAAGGGCAGGGGACGAAACTGGAGGGGCGATGTCATCTCAGGCTGGAGCCGCAGGAGATATTCCCGACGTCCCTCCGGGCTGGGTCGCTCCAGATTGTCCACCAAACCTGGCCCTGGACCACCCTGGCCCGACTCATGTATGCCCCGTCTGCAACCATAACAGCATCCAGTGGGAAGCGGTGCGCATGGCCACGGGCTTTCTTAAGCCCTGGTTGCGCTGCACGCGCTATCCACGCTGTCCGTTTTCCTACAGCCCCCGACGTGGGGTCCATCGAGACAGACGCCACCCAGATCAGCGACACTAAGCGATTACTGAACTCGGGGAGCTTGCATTTTTGAAAAGCTGGAAAAGCCTTGCAACAGAGATTCGGATGTGCTTGAAATTGTTGAGCAGGACGCAAATTATGCGAGATTGTGGTACTCAAATTGGGAATACGAGGTAATATATTTTTTTAATGCAATGAAATACTCCATAATACTAGCGTTGTTTTTTTAACTTTGGAGCCTTGTCGTTTCTACCAATCTTTATGAACAATTTTTTTCCCGAGCATTGCTTGTAGGTCTCATGCCACGTGTTGCATTACGGTGGATCCCACGTTCTCAACATCAGACGATGCTGCTGCGGATGCCGCTGCCCATGATAGTGGATGACGATGACGATGACGATGACATACGATGCTGATGACGGTAGTGATACGCATGATAACGTGGACGCTGACGACGACGAGGCGAAGGGTGATGATGATGATGATGACAACGATGACGATTACGAGGATGATGACGATGGTGCTTGGGTTCAATGCCAGTCGCAGTGGCAGTTTCATTTTTTATTCTCCCTCTGACTCTCAGTTTCACCCTCACCCTCACCTGCGCTCTCACTTTCAGTTTCACTGCGATGTTCATCTTCAGTTGCAGTCGCACTCGCACCCTCCATTTCATTACAACTTTCATTTTCCATGTCATGATCATGTTCATTTTCCGTCGCAGTCGCGCTGTCGCCCTCATTTGCCGTTTCCTTGTCGTTTTCACCCCCAATCGCAATCTCAATGGCCGTCGCAGTCTCATTCTCACCTTCGCCTACCTTTTCAAATCCAGCCGCAGTCGCAGTCTCGCTGTCACTCTAACCTTGATTCTCAAATGCATTTTCATTCTCGTTCTCACCTGCAGCCGCAATCGAAATAATCGCATTTTCATTTCACTAACAGCTTCACCCATCTCATGTTCAGTTTCATTTTCCTCCCCATTCTGCGTCGCAGTTTAAGTTCTGCTGCATTCTCACCTGCAGTGGGTTCATTATATTGTCATTCTCAGTTGCTGTCGCAGTTTCAAGCTCACCCGCAGCTTCATTGTCCTTGTCATTTTCAATCGCAGTCGCACTCACGCTTTCACTTTCATTCCCCTTTTCCGTGTCGCATTCATTCCCATTCTCAGTTGTAGTTGCAGTGTCGTTTTCATTGTCAATGCCACTTCCATTTCATCCTGAATCGCAGTCGCACTGTCACCTTCACCCTCGGTCTCAATCGCACTGGCATTTTCCGTCGCAGTCGCAGTCACACTCCCCTTCCTATTTTCATTCTCCGTCTCATTCCTACTCTCCTTTTCATTTTCGGTTTCAGTTTCATTCTCGGTCGCAATTACACTCGCAGTCGCTTTCGCAGCCGCACTTCATTCCCATGCCCACTCTCGCTCCCAATCGCTGTCGCAATCACACCCTCACTCCCACTTTCACTCTCAGTCGCAGTCCTCGTATTCTCAGTCTCACTCTCAGTCGCATGTTCAGTCGCAGCCCCAGTCGCATTCGCAGATTCGCAGCCGCAATGATAACGATGACGATGATGAGGGTGATGACGAGGATGATGACGATGATGATTGAATTCAATCCCAGTCGCAGTGGCATTTTCATTTTCTATACCCCCCTTGATTTTCAGTTTCACTCTGACTCTCACCCGCGCTTTCACTCTCAGTTTTACTGCGCTTTCCATTCTCCGGTGCAGTCGCACTCGCACTCTCCATTTCATTACCACTTTCATTTTCCATGTCATTTTCATTTTCATTTCCCGTCGCAGTCGCACTCTCGCCTTCATTTTCCGTTTCATTGTCGTTTTCACTCCTAGTCGCAATCCTTGTGGCCCTCGCACCCTTATATTCAGAAGTTTTACCTTCATTCCCACCCGCAGTTTCATGCTCGTTTTCACCTGTAGCCGCAGTCGAAATAATCGCATTTTCATTTCACTAACAGCTTCACCCATTTCATGTGGAGTTTCATTTTCCTTACCCTTCTGAGTCGCATTTTAGGTTCTGCCGCATTCTCACCTGCAATGGGTTCATTACATTGTCCTTCTCAGTCGCTGTTGCACTTTCACGCTCACTCTCACCCGCAGCTTGATTTTCCTGGTCATTTTCAGTCGCAGTCGCATTCACAGTTTCACTTTCATCCCCATTCTGAGTTGCAGTTGCATTCGCAGTCGCACTGTCACCTTCACCCTCGGCCTGAATCGCACTGCCGTTTTCGGTCGCAGTCGCAGTCACACTCCCCTTCCTATTTTCATTCTCCGTCTCATTCCCACTCTCATTGTACTTGTCGGTTTCAGATTCATTTTCATTCGCAATTACACTCGCAGTCGCTCTCGCAGTCGCACTCTCATTCCCATGCCCACTTTCGCTCCCAATCGCAGTCGCAAGCGCACCATCTCTGCCACTTGCACTCTCAGTCACAGTCGCCGTTTCAATCTCATTTTCACTCTCCGTCGCATGTTCAGTCGCAGCCACAGTCGCATTCGCAGCCGCACTCGCAATCGCACTTGCAGTCGCAGTCGCGCTCCCATTCTTGCTCCCGTTCTGAGTCGCAAACGCGTGCTTATTTGCAACCAGTCCCAGGTCTTTTTTCACTTGTAGTATCAACTTTCGTTTCCCACTAAGATGCATTTGCAGTTGCACTCGCATTTTCCCTTTGAGTTACAATTTCAATTTCATTCTCGTTTTTTTTTCAGCCGCCGTCGCTATTTGACCTTCGCCTTCATTGTCATTTTGCTGCTCAATTTCACTTGCCTTCTCATTCTCTGTCGAAGTCGCCCTCCCACCTTCACTGTCCTTTTCAGTTTCAGTGTCAGTCTCGTCCACCGACGCAACCACAGGCGCACTCACGCTTTCACTTTCATTTTCATTCCGTGTCACATGCATTCCCATTTTCAGTCGCATTCCCATTCGCAGTCCCACTTTCACTTTTCACTCTCACTTTTCATATTCACGTGCATTCACACTCTCGGTCGCAGTCGCAGTCGCATCTTCGCTTTCATTCGCAGCTTCATTCTCATTCTCCTGTTGATTGTCATTTTCAATCTGATGCACATTCTCATTCTCATTCTCTTTCTCAGTTTCAGTTTCACTTTGAGTTTCATAATCATTTTCATTTTCAATGTCAGTTTTCAGTTTCAGTCACATTCTCATTCACTTTCTACCGTTCACTCTCAGTCGCAGTCGCATTCGCACTCGCAATCGCACTCTCACCCTCAACCCTAGTTTCAGTTTCATTTTCATTCCCAGTCGCACTCACACTCGCACTGTGGACCCCCCGCGAGGGTTTCAGTAAATTCAATGTTGGAGACGGTTTGTTTTGGGGTTTTGTTTAGGTTTTGGTTTAGGGTTCGGGTTTAGACTTGAGTTTTAGGGTTGGGTTTAGGGTTTAGTTCAGGGTTTGTTTTAGGCTTTGGTTTGAGTTTGGTGTAGGGTTTGGTGTAGGGTTTGCTGTGGGGTTCGGTTTAAGGTTTGCTCTAAGGTTTTGGTTTAGGGTTTAGTTTAAGGTTTAGTTTCGAGTTGAGTTTGGGGTTTAGTTTAGGGTTGAGTTTAGGAGTGGTTTTTAGGGTTACGTTTAAGGTTTATTTAGTTTAGGGTTTGGTTTCGCCCTCAGTGTGAGTCTCGTCCACCGACGCAACCACAGGCGCACTCGCACTTCCACTTTCATTTTCATTCCGTGTCACATGCATTCCCATTTTCAGTCGCATTCCCAATCGCAGTCCCACTTTCACTTTTCACTCTCACTTTTCATATTCACGTGCATTCACACCCTCGGTCGCAGTCGCAGTCGCATCTTCGCTTTCATTCGCAGCTTCATTCTCATTCTCCTGTTGATTGTCATTTTCAATCTGATGCACATTCTCACTTTCATTCTCTTTCTCAGTTTCAGTTTCACTTTGAGTTTCATAATCATTTTCATTTTCAATGTCAGTTTTCAATTTCAGTTTCAGTCACATTCTCATTCACTTTCTCCCGTTCACTCTCAGTCGCAGTCGCATTCGCACTCGCAATCGCACTCTCACCCTCAACCCCAGTTTCAGTTTCATTTTCATTCCCAGTCGCACTCACACTCGCACTGTGGACCCCCCGCGAGGGTTTCAGTGAATTCAATGTTGGAGACGGTTTGTTTTGGGGTTTTGTTTAGGTTTTGGTTTAGGGTTCGGGTTTAGAGTTGAGTTTTAGAGTTGGGTTTAGGGTTTAGTTCAGGGTTTGGTTTAGGCTTTGGTTTGAGTTTGGTGTAGGGTTTGGTGTAGGGTTTGCTGTTGGGTTCGGTTTAAGGTTTGCTTTAAGGTTTTGGTTTAGGGTTTAGTTTAAGGTTTAGTTTCGAATTGAGTTTGGGGTTTAGTTTAGGGTTGAGTTTAGGAGTGGTTTTTAGGGTTACGCTTAAGGTTTATTTAGTTTAGGGTTTGGTCTCGGGTTCATTTTAAGTTTCGTGTAGTTGGTTTAGAGGGTTGGGTTTAGAGTTGAGATTCGAGTTGGGTTAGGTTTAGGGTTTAGTTCACAGTCTACTTTAGGGTTTGGTTCAGGGCTTGGCTTAAGGTTTGCTTTATGGTTAGAGTTTGGTTTAGGCTTGAGGTCTGGTTTAGGGTTTAAGGCTTCTTTTAAGGTTTAGTTGAAGGTTTAGTTGCGGATTAGCTTAGAGGTGACTTTAGCGCTTGGTTTAGGGTTTGGTTTAAGGCTCTTCCTTTAAGGTGTAGTTGAGGGTTTAGTAGAAGGATTTGTTTAGAGTTGACTTCAGGGTTTGGTTTAGGTTCGAATGTAGGGTTTAGTTTAAGGTTTGGTTTAGGCCTTAGTTGAGGGATTAGTCTGGGGTTGACTTTAGGGCTTGGTTTGGGCTTTGGTTTAGATTGAAAAGGTTTAGTTCAAGGTTTAGGTGGAGGATTGGCCGAGAGGTGACTTCAGGGCTTGGTTTAGGATTTGCTTTAGAGTTTGGTTTATCCTGTAAGGTTTAATTGAGGGTTTAGTACAACGATTTGTTTAGAGTTGACTTTAGGGTTTGGTTTAAGGTTTG